TAGAAATGGATTCCCAGCAATGCGAGACTTTGTTCAAAGAGTAGTGGATAAACTGAAGCTGGAGGAAAAGCAAGACAGAGTCTCAGTGGTGCAATATAGCGGAGACCCTACAGCTCATTTCTATTTGAATACATACTCAAGTAAAAATGAAATCCTCAATGCTGTTAGAAGTCTACGACATAAAAGCGGACGAGCGGTGAACACTGGAACAGCTCTTCAGTTTATAAGAGACAACATCTTGACCGCTCCTTCTGGCAGCAGGCGCCTGGAGGGTGTTCCTCAGATTTTGATTCTCTTGAGCGGTGCTAAGTCGACTGACAATGTTGATGCACCCGCTGCTGCTCTGAAAGAGCTTGGGGTCTTGACTTTTGGAATTGGAACCAGGAACGCGGATAGCCTAGAACTGCAGAAAATTTCCTACAAACCTAGATATGCTCAGTCTGTCTCAGACTTCAACGAGCTCCCAAGGATGCAAGAACAGCTTCTGTCTTCTGTAGATGCGGTTGTAACTAGTGCATTGATAGAAGGACCAACAGTTATAGGTATGGTAAACATTTTGCAATGTAAACTACATACTGTTATATCTATACAGCCTTTCCCTGGGTAACAATGGTGTTATGTCCATATGGCAAGAATATTTTAAGGTGAAAATGTAGTTTTATACAATTCACCTAACCTAACAAATACCATAGCCTAGCCTTGCCTATGTTACAATGATGCACAGAACACTTACTTATTAGTGTTTAGTTTTTACAAATGTCTATTTATGTTTTAAAAATTGTTTTCGAGAAGTAAAAAAGAAGTAGCTTCTATTCATCATACCTCTGAGTGCAGTAGGTACTTGTGCTCCTTCTATTTGTGCTGATGTGATTAGCAAAGTTTCCATGCAAGGGGGATTTTTTTTTATATTGTATTTTAGCCCGCAATTTTTAAACTAAATGATGTAGCACTATAACACAAATTCCATATCTTTCAGTTTTTAATTGTATTGTTAAGTACATTTTTGCATCACTTAACATCCTTCCACACAATTTCCCACCACATGTCCGAGGTCCCATAAGATGGAAACAGAGTTAAAAAATTCTCAGCGGAGCAGTACACAATAGCCATAAGCGGCTGTAGTGCACTGTGTCTAGCTGGTGTAAATTAAATGCCTACCAACCTCATAATGGTACAGTGTACCATTGACATGGTACCAATGATTCTTGATAGCGATATTGAACCGGTAACCTTCTGATCACAAGCACAGCGTCTAACGTTCTATTGGACAGACCATAACCTGGGTGAATATGGACTATGTGCTTGTGATCAGAAGGTCACTAGTTCAAGCCCACCTTCAACACGTCTGCAGGTCCTTGAGCAAGGACCTTAACCCCCCGGGCCCCTGGGTACCGCAACAGAGTACCCAGAGTGCATTGTATATTTGTGTGTATATATGCATTACCTACAGAGTGCAACTTGGGGGAGGCGTAAAGACAATTTCCCCACAGATATCAATAAAGTAACTATTATTGTTATTGAGGAGGATCCCTCATTCTTCACCAGGATGCTGCTTGTAATGTCTGATGCTAGTATGGCCATAATACAGGAGGAAGCACACACCTGGTGTTTGCTAGTTTTTTTAAACATGGGGGAGAATGAGTTTGCAGTTTTTATGGGTGTTTGGATTTTTTTGTGAGTTGTTAAGGGGTGGGGTGTTAGTTCCTTTGGGGAGCAGGGGCAATGTTAAGTATGGTTGGTATAGGGAGAGTATAAGGTTAATAATATTGCTGTAGGTCCCTAATGTTACTGATGTTGTTTTTTTTGAGGCCTGTTCGATTGTCTCAGTGGTATGGCCCTATTAAGCTTAATTACTGAAGGCTGTATAAACCGATGCTGTGACTCTGCAGCCTGTTGTGAGGCTGAAACTGCTAAAGCTGGGATAATTGGTGACATTCCATTTTGGTTAGTAAACGAATTAATAAAGGATTACAACATTTTCCATTGACAGTGATAAGCCATTATACTTTATAAGTTACAATGACACTCTCCTCTATAATGCCCTATTGATACCTTCATAAAACATTATAAGCATTAAGGATGCTTTGTACTACATTATAAAGGTATCTACAGTACATTATAGATGAGTGCTTCATAATGCAATCCTAATGAATAATAATTATGGCTATAATGTGCCTTTTTATTAATATTTTAGCTATATTTATAATGTCATACTAATGCACTATAATATTTTATGAATGTTTTCATAGAAACCATGGCATTCATAGAAAGTGTTACCAAGCGTACTGTAGCCATATCAACTTTAACTTAATGGGAACATTTTTACTTTTCTAATATTTAACTCATCATCCCACCCATGACAAAGCTTGTGCTCCTTTCCTACATTTTATTCTTCCATTTAAACTGAAAATGAAACTTCACAAAAGTCTTAAATGTGAGTCTTACACATTTTGGCTTCACTGCTTCCAGTTTTAAGTTATACACTTTCCCACATGTATTATATTGCTGTGTTGCAAATGTGTTTTATGATGAGATTTAATAAGAATCACCTGAAAGTACATACAAAATGCACAGTTTTCTGTTGTGCATGTTTTTGTGTAAGTTTTAGAATTCTAACTGCTATTAAAGAAAGTTAATTCTATTAAACTCTGGTATACACATGAATGCAAGGTATGAAAACCTATCTATTTATTGTTTTTCCAGCGGAGACCCAAGGTCCCAAGAAAGACGTGGTCTTCGTGATCGATGGTTCAAATGACGTGAATCAGGACTTCAGATTCCTCCAGGAATTTATGAGAAGGACAGTGGAGAATCTCAATGTTGGAGAAAACCGGATTAGGATTGGGGTTGTGCAATATAGTGACACTCCTAATGCGGACCTGTATCTCAATTCCCATACAACCAAGGAAGGAGTCCTGAATGCCATCAAGAGACTGAAGCACAAAGGCGGAAGGCAGCGAAATTTGGGAAGGGCCTTGGATTTTGTGAATCGTGAGGTCTTGGGACGTGCTCGTGGGGGCAGGAGAGATGAAAGAGTACCTCAATATTTGATCGTTATCTCCGCTGGGGGGTCCACGGATGATTTGAGAGCCCAAGCCACTACTTTAAAGCAATCAGGGGTGGTGCCTTTCAGCATTGGAACTAAAGGTGTGGACATCCATGAACTGCAAAGGATTTCATATGTTCCACAATTTGCATATTCAGTGCCTAATTTCCCAGAACTCTACACAATCCAGCAGAGCCTCATCACCTCCCTGACAGAGCTTTCAAGTGAAGAGATCCTTAGCTTACCACATGTGACTCCCACTGTGTCAGGTAAGAAACTGTTTCTCTTAGACACAGGTGTATAAATATTTTGTGAAATGTCTTCTGAATATTAGATAATGATTCATAGAATTAATTACTGTCTAAAAAGAAATTGTTAATTTTAAGAAAATCTGTATGGTAAAAAAAAAATTGTGTTAGTGATTTAAAACAAAATACCCCATTGTGTCTTTTCAGTATCAGGAGACAAAAAGGATGTGGTCTTCTTGGTTGATGGTTCATCAGCTGTGCGCAGTGATTTCTCCAACATTCTAGATATGGTTTCAAAAGTCATAAGGCAGTTAGACATTGGCTTGGACAAGGTGAGGGTCTCAGTCGTTCAATACAGTGACGACACCAAAGTCGAGTTTCTCCTGAATGAACATTCAACAAAGCAAGAAGTCCTGGCTGCCATCAGCAGAATCAGGAATAAAGGAGGATACACACTGAATACAGGCCATGCTTTGAACTGGGTATCAAGAAACATTTACCAAAGGTCTTCTGGCAGCAGGATCGAAGAAAAAGTCCCTCAGTTTCTGATTCTTGTAACAGGGGGCAAATCTACAGATGATGTCTCTGGTCCAGCCAACCAGTTGAAAAGGAGTCGAGTTATTCCATTAGCTATTGGTGCAAAATCTGCCAGTGCAGAAGATCTGAAACTCATTTCTGCAAAACCTGAATTTACCTACATGATCAGAGATTTCCAGCAGATATCAAGTATTGGACAGGAGCTATTGCCACTCATCAGGAGGACGACCACGAATGACATCTTCTTTGATCCTGTGGAAGAAAATGGTAAGACAATACACCTCACAATGCACCTCACATTCCTAAATATAGAGGAGAGGTTCAAAAAGAAATCATTTTACCATATATCTTCAACACACCTGTGCTCTGGATGATAATGTATGGTAAATAAATAACAAATCTGTAGTTTGTGTGTATATATACATTTTTAATGCGGTTTTGAATGAATGCAGTTTGAAAATACAAAAAAAGAGGTCTAGTTAGATCTGTGCAGGATGCAGAGGATTCAGTAGTAGCTGAAAGGAAAAACATGCTGATGTTTAGGGTACCATAATGTGCTTTGATAGGTTTATAGTGTACTGTTTAGGAGAAAAAACATTGTACAGTACAGCATATGTAAAGTACCATGCAGTGCTGTGCATGTACAATATTTTTTGTATTTTTTCCATAAACAATACGTTATAACAGCTACTGTACTATTTAATGTGGAGTTTACACTGTATAGGTACAGTTCTGTAATCTAGGCGTGATTTTAAGTATACAACAGGTTGTGTATAGATATGCAAAGTAAATAGGCACTTTTGTATAACATACGTGGTTTTGGAGTATCGCAGAACTAATTGACCTCGTTAGATGCGGTAGCACTGTAATGTATATTTGCTTTTCAGTAGATATACTCACTATTTTCAATGAATGAGTTTAACCTTTTAAAATGTGTGTTTTTTTAGTTCCTCTTGGAAAAAGGGACATTATTTTCCTTGTGGATGGATCAGATAATGTTGGTGCTACTGGACTTGTACACATACGGGATTTTATACTAAAATTGGTCCAGAATATCAATATCCAGCCCAGTGAGGTCCGTGTAGCTGTTGTGCAGTACAGTGACAAACAGAAGACAGAATTTTCACTGAATACACACAACAACAAAGATGCAGTGATATCCGCCATCAAACGACTCCGCCAGCTTGGAGGCCGATCAGCCAACTTAGCAGAAGCTATCGAATATGTGATCCGGAATGAGCTCAAGGAATCTGCTGGGCTAAGGTTTCCTGAGGCGTCCCAGCACCTGGTGGTTCTCACGGGTGGAAAGTCACCAACTGATGTCTCTGATCAAGGGCAGCGGCTCAGGAATGCTGATGTAAACTGCATAGGAATAGGCAGCAGCGGTGCCGACCGGAGACAGCTCAGTGACATCGCCAAAGATCCAAGCAGTGTTTTCCAACTAGACTCCTTCTCAAAATTACCTAACCTCCAGAAAAACGTAATTGATTTACTCAACGTGACCTATTTAAGGGAGACTCCGACTGACGTTGATGGTAGGTTTTCCTTTTATCCTTGCTGTTGTTCATAAATAAATTACTAGTCTAGAGAGTCTACTCTGTAATGGTAGCTACATCTTTAGTAAGTCCAAACAAGTGTCAAAACCTCATCAGTTATGAAGAAATAATAAAGATAAATATTTTCAGAGGATTCTGCTTTCATTTGTAGTAGATAGCTGTGTTCTGATACACCCAAATCAACTGTATTTGCCATTTATCCATGTTTGACTGACAAGGCAATATGTAAAACAACATATAGACTACCTATTGTTCTTTCTTGAAATTTCTTTCTCCCAGATGAAATAGCACCTAAGACTGCTGACATCGTATTTTTAGTTGATGGCTCAATTAATGTGGGCCGGACCAATTTCAAAGAAGTCATGGAGTTCATCTGGAACCTCATTGATCTTTTTTATACGGAAAGAGATGACCTGCGTTTTGGTTTGGCGCACTACAACACCGAGGTGACAGATGTGTTCTTCCTCAACACCTATAAAGACAAAGACGCCATGTACGATGCTATCCAGAATGCCGAATTCAAAGGAGGCCACAGAATCAACACAGGTGCCGCCATTACGCATGTGAAAGATCACCACTTCATTAAGGAGAAAGGGAGCAGGAAGGATCAGGGTGTCCCTCAGATTCTGATGATTGTGACGGGCGGCAGGTCCCATGATGATGGGAAGTCTGCTGCTTTGGCACTCAAAGCATCACAAGTAAAGATTTATGCTATTGGGGTGGGCAACATTGAAGATGAGCTCAACAACCTTGGGAGTGAGACCACCATGGTTGCCCGAGCCAGTACCTTCCAAGAACTTTCTGAGCTGAATGAACAGATCCTGGAAACACTGCATGACTCCTTGAAAGGCATTAAACTATGCATGACTGGTACACAGGAAATCGCAAGGGGTAAGAGCATTTAAATCTTATCATAATAGTCGTGTGTGTGTGTGTATGTGTGGATTAAGTTTATTACATTGTGGGGACCAGCCTGTGTGCCTGTAATCAGAAGGTTGCCAGTTCGAACCCAGCCTCAGCATGTCTTTGGGTCCTTGAGCAAGGCCCTTAACCCCCGGCTCCCTGGGCACCGTTACGGGGGGCTGCCACCTTACTCTACGAAGAACAAGTTGGGGGAGGCATAAAGACAATTTCCCCACAGGCATCAATAAAGTATCTATTATTATTATTATAAATGTCCCCCACAATGTAATTAAAACCTGTTTTTTGACATTGTGGGGACCATTTTTCAGGTCCCCACAAAGATCCGTGAATGCAATCAAAAAACTAAAAATGCCAGAAGTGTCACATTCTGTTTGGTTACTTATGGTTAAGGTTAGGGCTGGGTAGGGGTTAAGGTCAGAAATTAATAGAGAGTCCCCACAAACATATAATTACAAACCCGTGTGTGTGTGTGTGTGTGTGTGTGTGTGTGTGTGTGTGTGTATATATATATTAAGTCATTAAGTTTGGATATATATATATATACACATTAATCCATTCATTCATTTTAATTTTGTCTCAGTTTATTTTATTTATGGATTTCTAAACCATAATAGTAGGCTTTATGCTTTTTACATCACTCGATTGATCCCTATGTTAATCATTATTGTTTGTTTTTATTTGAGAACAGTACTTTATGATGCATTTGATTGCACTGTATGTTAACAGAATGCAAGCTGGAGGTCCTGGTGGGCTTTGATGTCTCTGCACAGAACATTTTTGCCGCTCAGAGGTCTCTAGAATCCAAGATGGGCGCCATTCTTCACACCGTTACACAGATGCAAGGCATCAGCTGCACCTCAGGCACCTCCCCCTCCGTCTCAGTGGGAATTCTAGCTTTGGACTCTGCCTCTGAACCAGTACAGTTTGATTTCACAGATAACCCCTCTCAACTTTTCGAGTCCTTCAAGGCCCTGCGCTCCCGGGGACCGTACATTCTCAATGCCAAGACCATTGATGCTTATGGCTCCATGTTCCGAAATAGACCCTCAGATACTGTCAAGGTGCTTCCAACTGAATAGTCCTTATTATATTTGTCAAATGTGGTATGTTCAGAAGTTTTTTTTTTTTAATGAACTGTTAATAATACTTTGTTTCATTTTCCCACATCCAATACCTGCAGGTTATATTTCACCTAACAGATGGTCTGGATGGACAGCTTCAGCAGATGAAGGAACGCTTGGAAGCCCTTCAAAATTCAGGTGACAATGACTGATCACTGCGGATTACTCTCCCCTGTTCCACAAAGTCATCCAATACTAGAAAGGTTTACATTGGGTCCTCGAGATATGTTGCAGCAATATTCCTAATAAGCAGGATGTAAAATTAAACCGAATATATTGGACATCAGTATCTCATTATGATACATTCCAGACTGAAAAATATTTTTTTTATGGAAGTTTATAGGAATGTGAATAGGAAATACAAATTTTATTGTATGCTAAACTACAATACAAGATAATCTTTTGTAGCTACAAAATGATTAGAAAATATACTGAAATTATTAAACATTTAAATTAATATGATTCAAATAATAAAATAAATACTAAATAACATAAAACATTTTATATTATAATAAAATATATATTTATAATTGTTCTTCACTTAATGTAAAAATATGTCCAGGGTTTTGAGGTTTAAGCAATATAACTATTAGCTTATAGTCGTTTTTACAGGCCTACCTTACTTGGCGAGGACCAGCATTATTTTCCGAGTACAGAGCGAACTGTACTTTCCACCCTCTGACTTTCATTAAGGGAATTTCCCAGCCAATTGATACCCATTCAAGAATTTTGCAATAACAACATCAGTGCAAATATTTTCAATCTATATTGATTTTACCGTCCCTTATTAATCAATAATGTGTGCAAAACTTGTATCGGTGCAATGCGTATTATGAAGGACCCTATACAGTGGTACCTCAGTTCTCGAACTAATTAGAACTTAAATTTCTTAAAAGTCGAACCAACCAGTTCGAAAAAAAAATTACCTAGAGCTCAATCTGAAACTCAGAAGTCAAACCGTGAACACCGACCTAAGATAACTTGTACGCGGGGAAATGAGTCATGCCGCATGTCTCTCAGCGGAAACAAAGGGTAACGCTTCAGTCTCAGACTCACATTCACTGTGATAGCATCCTGCATGTTTACACTAGCTGAATACATATATTTAGACAGTAAAAATACATTAAGACAATGATATACAGTAACAGTAATTATTATTATATAATAAAATACATTTAAAAATGAAAAAATAAAGATTTCTTATTCATTATTTTAATATTAACAATAAACCATTAATACATTTAATTATAATAATATTGTCATGCCGAGCGGGGACGGAACGGAGTATTGGGGAATACGGGGTTTAATTACAGGTAAGGCAGGCAAAACGCAGATGGACAATACAATGACCGAACTGGGGAAACAAACTGAAACGCGGACGAAATACAGAGAGCTAATAAAACAACCAGAAACAGCTGATGACACGGGGATTCCACACGGCGTTAACGAGGGGGCGTGGCACACGGAAGGAGCGGACGATCGGGGCAGGACACATTGTTTTTTTTTACCTTTACACATTGTTTGGATACATTTATTTTCTTACTTAACAAATTACTTTTTTGATAAATGTGCTTAGCTGTGTTTAGTACAGTATATGCTCTTCTTGTTTTATCCAGTTCATTTTGTGTTTAAATGCTATAAAAAACATATTTAGATGTATTTTTTTGGGGCCGGGAACCAATTAATTGGTTTTCCATTATTTCTTATGGGTAAAATTCGATCAGAACTCGAACTGTTTAGGATTCGATCTGGAGTTCTGAACGGATGAAGTTCGAGTTTTGAGGTACCACTGTAAACATATAAAATGTACTACATTTGAGATATGGACTGATTAGATAGATAGATAGATAGATAGATAGATAGGTAGGTAGATAGATAGATAGATAGATAGATAGATAGATAGATAGATAGATAGATAGATAGATAGAAATGCACAGTGTAATTTAGCTTCTAACAAGTGGATTTTCTGCATCTTTATAGGTGTGAAGAGCTTCGCCCTTGTGGGTCTCGAGACCATTCCTCGGCTGGAAGATGCTGCACTCTTAGACTTTGGATTTGGTCGTGGTTTCAGATACAAAGGGCCTCTTCGTGTTAACTCACATTATTTGGAATACGAACTTAGGGAGGAACTGGTGAGCAGGCCGTCATGACATCACGTCTATGCTAACTTTCATCCGTAGAGGTGGAATCAGTAAAGGAAACTGCTAAATCGCTAATTAGCAACGGCCACATTAACGAGTGTATGAATGTGGACATGCATCTCATTAAGTCTTGACACTGTGACATAATGACACTGGACTTTTCTGTTCTGACCAGGACAACATAGCTGAGCGAGAATGCTGCTCTGTGCCCTGTAAGTGCACTGGACAGAGAGGCGAACGAGGAGGAGTAGGTCTTCTGGGATCCAAGGTTAGTGCAGTTTTGGTAGAACTGACTTTAGCTACTCTCAGTGAGAAATATTCTCTGTAGAAACTGCTAATGTCAGGAAATGCTACAGTCAGACATGGAGACATTCATCATATTCTGGAATATAATGAGGCATATGCAAATCCTCAGGATTAAGAAACTATAAATTGGGATGATTTAGTGTGTTCAAGTAGTTCTTCACTTATTAAATATTAAAAATTTCAGTTCTGACTCCTGCCTAAAAACTCACAGCAGGAAGCACTGGAGTTATCATGGTTCTAAAAATCTTTCCCAAAGTGTTGAGAAGGGCTATGATGCAACACAATGGAAATGTTGACGTGCAGCCAGGGTGGATATACAGGGACAAGATGACAGACAAATCCTACACTGTTGCAAATGTAGTGAAAGTTTAAAAGAGACCCACTGACGGCCGGCATCTTTCCCTACCAGGGCAGTCCAGGAGGGATGGGCTACAGAGGACATCCAGGCGATGAAGGAGGACCGGTAAGCCAGACCAGCAGCAGCATTTCCCGTCCCCTTTATCCAAAAAAGTGGGGCCCTCGCTGCTTCTATAAATGAAATAAATGTTCATAAAAATCAATGGACAGAAATAAATTACTTACAGCATAGTGTAATATTCATGTGCAGGTTGTACTTTATCCAAATGTCATTGTACAGTTCTGTTGCCTCACTTTTAAGTTGCTGTGGACTAAAGCAAATGGCAAATAAAAATGAATGTAATATAAATGTTGGATTTCACATGATCTATCATTTATGGGTAATGCTGTGTGTAAGCAGATCATTTCTACCTCAGACAAAACGTTAAACACAGTTGCCCTTCACCCGACCCTTACAATCAATATGCTATCAACATCGTATTAATTTCATTAAACACACTATTTTATCATCATGGAGCAGGGGTGGAACTTGGAATTTTTACTACTAGCCAAATGGGCTAGTTCAGTTAAAAAAAAAGAAAAAGGAATGTAATCCAACATGCAATATGTGGCTAGCGTTCAGTTTTTTGTACTCGCTCTTCGTATACATGGCTCACCTCAGGGAAGTGGGCGAGCTTCATTTCCAGCCCTAGTTTGGTGTGTAATTTTGCTATATTTCCAAAGCTGTACATAATACAGTAATACAACAGAAAGCTACAAGTAGATGACTGCGCTTTATCTGGAGAAAAATACCAAATAAATACAAATAATCAAACCTGAAAGTACCATTCTCCCGGTTCATGCTATAAAAAAATGTGACACCTCCCTCTGTCTGACAGGGTGACAGGGGACCTCCTGGTCTGAATGGTACCCAAGGTTTCCAAGGTTGTCCAGGGCCAAGAGGTACTAAGGTGAGTCCTTTGTAAACAGACTCTGAGCTGGACCTGATGTTTGTACCATGGTTTTTATGGAGAGTCTAAAACAGCATTAAAATGGTTTATCTGTTTCATACAGGGTTCTCGTGGTCACTCTGGGGAGAAGGTAAGGCATTTTAATATACATTTATGAATATATTTATGAACTCTAATTTACAAAACAAAAACAATGTAAAAATAATCCTTTTCTTGTGTTTCATTTCAGGGTGAATTTGGTGAAGCTGGTTTGGATGGAATCATCGGGGAGGAGGTAAGCACTTTTTGCCTCCCTAAAAGCAGTAAGATGTTGCATCCATGTTGGGAAAGATGGATCGGATGTAAGTTATCTGAGGGGTGGATTACAAGTTTCTTCTGTATTATCCAGGGAAAACGTGGAGTACCAGGTCCTCCAGGAGAGAGGGGTGGTCCTGGGAGTAGGGTGAGTGTTCTTTGTCTAGCTATCACAGTGCTTTTTCCTGTTTACCCTGCAGTGAGGTCAGACCTAGGTTTATGAGGAACCCACCCTCAAGTTAATAATGTGCACTCTCAGATGAGAGTCAATCAGTCCATGACTGTGTCTCCTCACTGTATTGAGATGGACACTTAGTGATTTTATTCTGGACCCAGCAGTGGCTGAGGTTAGGGAACCATTGTATCTTATTGCACAATTTAATTTTTAGGGTCCTAAAGGAGCCAAAGGACAAGCAGGAGAGACGGGCGCACCTGGAATCCGTGGAGACCCAGTGAGTATAAGCCAGTTACGCTGACTTCTGGCCCTAAAAGCTACAAATGCTTTAGCCTTTCAGCAGTAAGCATTTAACATCCTAAATGTTAATGTTTTAGGGTTTACCTGGAGTAGATAATACTCAGAGAGGACTCAAGGGAGATGCAGGAGATATAGGACCAGTGGTAAGCATACTTGATTAACTTTTTCACAGGTGTCTGCTTTAATTTGTTATGGCATAGTACTGATCGCAACTGATGACAAACCTCTATTTTTGTTGCTGAAGAAACTACCTTACTAGCTCTAAAATGCACAATAAATCGCCCCAAATCATCCCAGTTATGCCAGTAGGAAAGTATCTTTCAGAGTATTGTAACTGCATTTCATAGAATTAGCCATAGCAAATAACTGGCTTTTTTTAGAACAGTAGAAATTTACAGAAATTATGTATAAGGAAATAATTCTTATTGTGATTCCGATGCCCTCTATAACTGCCCTACTGTCTTCACCAGGGAGATCCAGGGCCAGATGGTGTAAAAGGCCCCCCTGCTGAAGCCGGCAGAAGGGTAGGACTATGGTTCTTCCTATTGCCACAAATATGACCTTCCCTACCATCACCTGATTTCATTGTCTTTTATTTTTTGTGTGACTCATATTTCTCCCTGAATTAGGGTTCCAATGGACGGCGAGGCTCCCCGGGACAACCTGTAAGGGCCTGCGATGTTAATGCCAATACGGCAAAAATACTATCACTCCAACAGTTATCCTTATTTCTGAATATAATGATATGCTAAATCCCTAACAAACGGTCACACCGATGCCATATCCTACCCTCCAGCCACACAGAGTGTCGTCTTTAAAACGGGAAATGGATTTAGAATGTCTCAGGCTTGAGCTATGTGCCTGTATTTGTATTCCAGGGAGCAGCTGGACAGCCTGGGGCGAATGGAGATCCCGGAGAGCCTGGAGTAGGGGGGTCTCAGGTCGGCCTCATTGCTTGGTGCCTAATGTTTGCTTTTCTGTTTGGCCAAAACACTGTTCCCTCTGGCTGTTCCTGGACTAAGTAAAGCTTCATCGTTCACTCAATCTAATAATGAACCATGATGGTGGTCATACCTCGTATGTATGGCAGTCGTGTGTAAAAAATATGTGTAAGACGACATTATTATAATTCCTTCGGATTTCAAACATGCTGTTGTTCTTAGTCAAAGCACAATTTAAAATATCAGTGTATAAATGGGTTCATGCATGATCAGATAAGACTAATACTGACTGGTTTCTCTTGTTTTTTTAAAAAATTATTCCTGTACTCCAGGAATGTTTATTTGAACATAAAAACCACAGTTTGTATGGTTCTGACCAAGATTAAATGTGTGTTCTAGGGTGCACCTGGACCCATCGGAGCCCCAGGAATGCGTGGAGAGGATGGAAATCCCGGGCCTAGGGTAGGGGTTTAGCAGCTGTCACTGCTTATTATTAGGTGCTAGTCAAGGGGCTTTAGTGAGATCTGGAGGTAGTGATTAGAGGAATAAGGTTTTAGAATCAGCAGTGAGACAATGGGAAGTGACCGTGACCAATAGTCTTTCCATAGCATTCGACAGTCCCACCCATCAGCGGTGTCAGAGATTTATTTGTGAAGAAATGCATCATGGGATGAAATATTCACATGATAATACAGATAGTGGATGCAAAGCATCTACTATAAGTATATATATACAAATACTTTAAATATAAGTCTTAACATACAACTTTTAAGATAAAAATTAAGAGGATTCTACTTGTTCTAAACAGGGTACAGGAGGTGCACAAGGCCCCCCCGGGGAGAAGGGCAGAAGGGGCGCCACAGGCCGCAAGGTAACGGTGATGAACCTGTATAGTATTTCACGGCTACACTTGGTCGGCGGAGGTTGCTGACAGCCACTGGGCCTCTCCGCAGGGTGAGCCAGGAGAGTCAGGACCCCAAGGAGACCGTGGAGGGTCAGGTCCTCTTGGAGAGCCGGTGAGTGGCCAAGGCTCAGGTCAAGCAACAAGCTGACAAAATACAAATCTCACTCTCCTGTTATTGTAGTGTAACAGCTGTACGTATGTCCTGTTGTACAGACATGCAAATACAGAGATTCATAAAACTCATAAATATGTACGGATTCATAAACACAATATTCTTATTCTGCAAAAAAGTGATATTCTTTGCTATCCTTTTTTCTCTTTTTCTCACTAAAACAGAGACCCCCTAAGGAGCTTTAGTACCTTCTAATAATTTTTAAAATTTGAAGGTGACACGTGTGATTAGTTTCAAGATAACCGGAGCTGTAGGAAACAACCTCAGTTTTCTAAGTTCTCCTTACGGACTCAATCATGGACTTGCCTCTTGTTTATAACAGGGAGAAGATGGACGAGATGGGTTTGGAATTCTTGGTCCAAAAGGAAAAAAGGTAAGATCCCCTTTAGGTTTCAGTAACAACTAAAGTACCTCAGTCTTCCTTTTAGTGCTCTAGTGAAGGAAGTTCATTGAAGTTTGTACATACCTACATTATAGCACCGAGCTAAATCAAAGTAAAATGCCAAAGTTACCCTGCCACCAGTTTTCTGATCCTATGCTGCTAGTGGTCATTATTTATCACAGCAAAACATAACTGGAGTATCATTACTGGAGTATCCTTTCTGGAGTATTCTAACTGGAGTATCTTTTAAATGCAGGGTGATGATGGCTTCCCTGGATTCCCGGGACAAAAGGTAAGGCAGCTGCTTTTTGTGAATGTCGGCCAAAAAATTTTTGGCGTCATTTAAACGGCCTTTGTGGCTCCATCCAGACTCTTATTTGCCCCATGCTTTCCCCACATTGACCTCTGCTTGCCCCCTCCTCAAAGGGCTCAGCAGGAGACTCAGGGTCTAAAGGCGGCCCAGGACCCAAAGGAATCCGTGGACAGCGGGTGAGTTATAAAGTGGCCCCCATTCACTCCGTTCTGCACCTGAGGAAGGCTTCCTGAGAATACGCTCGTAGAAATTCCTGCATGTGGGCTTTCGTCTGACATGCCATCAGGCTGGCTCACTGACTTGCTCTTTTTATTTTATGTAGCTGGTCTCGCTTGGCCGAGATATGCGACAATACTTGGCCTTAGTAAATAAAAGCACATGTGTTTTCCCTGGAACGCTGTCATAAGCTCAAAAATTCCACTTCTTTAGGGAATTGCTGGGAACGCTGGACCACCAGGTCAGAAAGGAGACTTTGGAAATCCTGGACCTTCTGTAAGCACAATTTTTCAAGACACAAAACATATTAAAATATTATAAAACATGTATACCATATATATATAAGTATCAATAAATAACCACACCGTGAGAGACGTCTGTGGATGGGCAGTTAAGGAGATGTAGATGTTTTTGATCACCTTACACAGGAGCACCTATTTTGTGGTTAGGGTACAACAGATTTGCCTACCCATCATGATTAATGTGCTTATCATTGATTCGGTAACACTTTACTTAAAGCTGTCATCTATAATGCATTATGGATACCTTCATAATGCATTATAATAGTCAGTATAAGAATTAATAAAGCATGACAGTATCTTCTATTTACAGTCATGTCATTATAGTGTTGATTATAATACTTCATAAGCTCCAATGAAGCTCTCATCTATAATGCACTGTAGATACCTTCATAATGCATTATAATAATCAGTATAAGAGTTAAGTATGTTTTGTACTGCATTATGAAGATATTTATACTGCATTATAGATAAGAGCTTTATGAAACATTCTTAATGCATAATAAACATAGCTGTAATGTGTCATGCCTTTTTACAAATATTTATAGCCATGTTTATAATGCCTTATGAACACATTATAATGAGTTATGTATGCGTTTACAGAGATTGGTCTGAAGTAATAATAATCATTAATAATTTAAGTAGTAATTCAGTTCAGTTTTCTTGTATTGTATGTAGGTCCCATCTCCACAGAAAATCTCTTAGCTGTTCAAACATGATGTAACCATACGTGTGTTTTTTTTTGTCTAGGGGTCGAAAGGTATACAAGCAGCTGGTGTGGGGGTAAGTCATTACTTGCTAATTGTAATATTTAGATAAATGGTTTTGATTCATCGTGTGATATACTGGAGTAAAAATATGTTGCTTTGTTTTCAGCAATGTGACCTGGTCAAGAAAATCCGAGATAACTGTCGTAAGTGTCAAGAATATGAATACCACTATATTTAATATAAAGAAAAACATATATTTAAATATTGCTAGAAATCATATGTTGAATGGTTATTGTATATCATTATTTTGAGTTTTCCTTTAAAATAAGATCATCATAAGACCTGTGGTAGTGAAAGGTATCAATCATTTGCACGTAACAGAGAGAGCGTTAGACATGATGCTTATACACAACATCTAATGCCTGTTTGTTGTGTTTTTCATTTTAATCTTTTACAGCCTGCTGCTATGGTGAGTTGTGACATGATGAAAACTGCAGTGTATAAATTACAAAATGACACATCAACATAACTTATGTACAGTATTGCTAGTGGTCCAGAAAACAACAGTGTCATTAAGCACCTGGTTACAGTCAGCCGCATGTAGCAGAATAAGCATCAGATTGAGGTAAGAATGGCTGTACTGTTAGGTGTTGTGATGTATTTGCCTGTCCCTCAACCACAGGCAGGTGCTCCTTTAGTAAAGAGGGCAGCAGTCACAAGTAAGGATAGTTGTCAGTAGCGAAGGAGCTGTAAGTAGTAAGGATAGTTGTCAGTAGTAAAGGGAACTGTCAGTAGTAAGAGGTGTTGTCAGTAGTAAGGATAGTTGTCAGTAGTAAAGGGAACTGTCAGTAGTAAGAGGTGTTGTCAGTAGTAAGGATAGTTGTCAGTAGTAAAGGGAACTGTCAGTAGTAAGAGGTGTTGTCAGTAGTAAGGATAGTTGTCAGTAGTAAAGGGAACTGTCAGTAGTAAGAGGAGTTGTCAGTAGTAAAGATAGTATTCCGTAGTAAAGATAGTGGTCAGTAGAAAGGGCCGCTGTCAGTAACAAGGGGAGCAATCAGCAGTAAGGATAGCAGTCTGTAGTAAAGGTAGTGGTCAGTAGCTAACGGCAGCTGGCCTCCTCCGTAGGGGGTGAGGAATGCCCACGTTACCCCACGGAGTTAGCATTTGCCCTGGATGCCTCCGACGGCGTGACTGGCACCGCTTTCGGCAACATGCGGCAGTTGGCACTTAGGCTGGTGAGGAACATCACCATCGCCGAGAGCAGCTGCCCCCGGGGGGCACGGGTGGCTGTGACACTCTACAACAGCGACGTGACCACGGAGGTGCGCTTCGCCGATGCACTGAAGAAGAAGAGCCTCATCGAGCGCCTGGAGGGGCTGCAGGCGCCTCAGACCCGCAAGCAGCGCAGCCTTGATTCTGCCATGACCTTCTTGGCTCATAACACCTACAAGCGCGTACGCAGCGGCTTTCTGATGCGCAAGGTGGCTGTCTTCTTCGTCAATGGCGTCACACGGGCCTCTCCCGCCTTGAATGCTGCCATGCTCCGCCTCTACGATGCCGGGATCTCGCCACTGTTTCTCACCACCCGCGATGACCGTGCCCTGTCCCAGGCCCTGCAGGTAGCTGGACTGGGATAATGATTCCAGTAAAGAAACATCCTGTCTCTTCATTCTATGAATCTGTGTTTCGTTGTTCCTTGAGGATGTTGATAAATCAATAATTCTCGTTGTAACAGATCAACAACACAGCAGTGGGACAGGTCATAGTCCTACCCCAACCTGGAAGTGCCCAGTACAACTCAGTAATAAACAAGATCATTAAATGTCACATCTGTCTAGGTGAGACTTCTACTGATGGCTTTACTAGTGGTGGCCTTTAGTGGACTTGTCCTTTGTCAGACGACCATATTGTTACTGAAACATTTATTTGTTAATTTTTTCATTTTATCTATAATTAGTAAATATATATAGTTTTCTATATACGCTTACAATTTTTAGAGATTGAAAAACTTTATTCAATTGTTGCTCCGGTTACTTATTTAATTATCCAATGTATGATATTTGTAACATTCTTTGATTGTTTATATATATTACCACCAATATTTGTGTAGTAATTTTTAAAGCATAATGCCAATGTTTCCACAATTGTGGCCGCTGATATAGCATTTCGGTTTTGTAACAGAAGCTCCATGAGAACAAGACTAATATTCTGAATTCTTTCAGACTTCTGTGCACCTGAGCAGATATGTGACTACATCCCCTCACAACCAAGCAGAGATAGGAGGTCGTCCACCAACGACGTTGACATTGACATTGCCTTCATAATGGATAGCTCTCAGAGCACATGGCCCGTTGTGTTCACTGAGTTGAAGCACTACATCTCCCACATCATTGACCAGCTGGAGATCGCTTCAGAGCCCAAGAGCTCAATCCACCACGCTCGTGTAGCTGTGGTGCAGCACAGCCCTTACGAGTTCAAGCCCAACGGAAGCGCCGCACCTGTGCAGGTGGACATCGGTCTGACTGACCATAGCTCCAAAGAGAACCTCAAGCACTTCCTGCACACTAAGGTGCTGCAGCTGGAAGGCATGCGTGCCTTGGGCAGTGCGATGGAGTACACAATCGAGCACATCTTCGAGAAGGTGCCACACCCACGTGACCTGAAGGCTATCGTGCTCATGGTGACCGGCCCCATAAGTGACCAGGAAGAACAGAGATTGGTGCACATTGCCACAGAGGCCAAGTGCAAAGGCTTCATCATGGTTGTCCTGGGTGTGGGTGAACAGTTGAGGGCAGAAGATTTCCGAATCCTGAGCCGATTGGCCAGCGAGCCAACCAGCGTATTTTTTAAGCGAATCGAAAGTGCCCCACACTTTAATGACGAGTACATCCAACGCTTCGGCCGTCTGCTTCCCAAATACCTCACCAGTGAGTAGAGATTCAAGGGAGCACAAGAATTACTGCTGAAAATCTATAAGAACAGCAGTTTATTTGCTTTCTGCCCTTCAAGATGTCACTGAATGGGCCTCACACACCTCTGTCTGCTTATCCTTCTACAGCTGACAATGCCGTACATATGTCTCTGGAAGTTGCCAAGAACTGCAAATGGTTCCAGGGTGACCAGTCGAACAAAACGGCCATCTTACCAAATAAAGAGCAAGTGCCCATGTGAGTAAACTAGCCATTTAATATATTTACACACTAATTGTCTGTCCAACCATCCCATTGTCAGAATTGTTGTATTTTGTAGACATTATTTCACTTTAAAATTGTGCCCCTCTAAAATACTTTTTTATATTTGCAAACTGCTCACATTTTTTAGATGTTGCAGCCAAAATATATTTTTACCTATAATCTTGAAATTATTATTTAAACCGATTGTAATTATTCAAATAATATCAGAAGACAACACATTGATCGATGTTTTATATTTGCAAACCTGTTCTTGCAGGAATGACCAGCTGCAGCATGAAACCCAGGCTGATCAGTCAAGGAGGCCAAAAGGCAAGACATCTAAATAGAGCTTCGGATAAAATTGATTTCATCAGAATTTCCAAAATGTTTTATAAATGGAAATATGATGGCGTTTTGGTATTTGACCTGAATATAACGTCTGGCCGTAATTTGTTACAGAAAATTCTGACGCAGATCCATGTCCCATGTTGATTTTTCTGGCTGTGGGAAAGTCACCCTTTCCTTTGGCAATTCCTGTTTGCTTCCTCACAGAATGGCCAGCAGAAGAGCTGCACGTGGGAAATGTGACCTCCAGCAGTCTGGTGCTTCGATGGACCGGTCCTCATGCTGATAAGCAGGGCGAATTCCACGTCATCGTGACCCGCCTGCTAGACCACACCCTGGTGCTAAGGGAGAACGTGACCGGCACGGAGCTCCTGCTGACTGGCTTGGAGAGCGCTCAGAAATACCACGTTGTGGTTACCACCAACACTCATGGCCAAGCTGGGGCAGTCTACAAGGGCATTGTCAGCACCAGTGAGTTTGTGACATACTCATTAAGTTTTTCTTAAGCTGTGATTTGCCTTGGCTGGTTGTCTTCGAGTGCGCCACCTGCTGGAGGAATGAGTGACAGTGTGTCCTTCTAACCCATCAGAAGCAGCACAGAGCAATGTGGCCGGGCCAGTGGGGATGAAAGTAGATTCACCCACAACTCCTTTGGAACAGCCAGAGATCGGTGAGAAGACTGCTTCATGCCTTGACTAGAGAGATTTAGATGTCTGTCGGTAACACTGCTAAAAGAGATGGTCTGTCACTCATTACATTCATAAATAGTGTAGAAAATAAGTTCAGTAACCCCTTTATATTTGCATAGTCTTTGTTATGAAGACTCCCGCAAATGAGAAAACATGCAAATAATCCCCGGGCCCCCTAACCTAACACCCCGCTAGCCTGAATGAACATAAAAAGTCAATTTATTACCAATTTGTAAAACAACAGTACCAGTATCTCGAGCTTTTCGTATAATTTACAAGCCATCTAAGTTATGCCCCTATATGTACAAAGTTAGTACCGTAGACACTGGGAGCACTGCGTATTGGACCCATTGTTAAAAATGCAAAATTATCGGCACTGAAAACTGAGTGAGACTTGGTCCCAAAACAAATATGTGTGGCATTCCGAAGTCAAGACTTTTAATATTAAGATGTAGTGTACTTACACTAAAAATAATGTATCACTAACATTTATATATATTATATGATTTTATGTGATCAGAATCATTTTCACTATTGTGTCAAATGTTGGAATTTCTGCGATCTTTCAGCAAGCTGCAAAAATATTTCCGTTCAATTGTCCACGGGCAACTCGCTACTAACCGGAAATGCAAATGCCAAGTCTGCGAATGTGAAGGTTTTACTGTATAAGGTATCGATACCAGAGGAGCTGTGAAACTAAAGGGCAGACCAGAGCAAGTGTGCAGAACACTGAAGCGTATCAGAAGCGCATCAGAAGAACAGAAATGTGCTTTTTCAAAAACCTGAACCTGAAACTTTTTTGGCCAGTGAGGTATTCAGGTTAGAACTGGGCCACAGCCGCTCCTTGTCATCTCCATTTCTTGGCTTTATTTGATCCCATATCCTTAATATTTATGCCTGTCTGTGGTTGCAGCTCTGGCGCAGCAACTCAGAGACAGTCAGACGGAGCACCTGCCCATGCCAGGTAAATGCAAAACTTCAGCTGCAATGCTGAAATATGAGGGGATTACTTCATAAATTCCCTGATTTTTAAATGATTTACTTGTTTCTTTAATCCCTTCCGTGGAAGACGCCAAATATTTCTCTATTTAAGTAATATTATTTATATGTTTTGTGAACTATAAACTATATTTAAATATTTTTTTAAAATAAACATTAAAATGGAATGATCTGTTGAGTAGGCAAAATCTTTTCTTTGAAAATAAATAAAATCGCCTTGCATCTTCTTGCCAAGGCATATGTAAACACAAAGAGCAAATCAGACAGCTTTCGGGCCCCATTAGCTATTGGCAGTTAGTCATGTGACACTACAGTTTATCGAAAAAAAATAAATCTGTTCCCGTTTCTCTTACATTGAATGATTTAGCAGATGCTTTTATCCAAAACAATGTATCATTTAGAAAACGGGATCAACCAGCTATCCGAGCAGCCCGGTTAAGGGCCTTGCTCAAGGGCCCAGCGGTGGAAACATTCTGCCAGTCACAGGATTTGAAACAGTCATCTAAAGTTTCATTCACAGACACAGTATCCTAACCCTACTGAAGCACACATTAAGTTAATTTTGGGATGAAGATATAAATGCATGCCGCATTGGAGAGGACCATCAGAAAATGGGTGCTGTGTGTACTTAGTCTGTCACTGTTCCCGTGTGACTCTCGCTTTCCTGTGACCCAAAGCGAACAGCGTTTGCCAGCTTCCCAAGGAGGAGGGCACCTGCGCCAAGTTCGTCCTTCAGTGGCACTTTGACTTCCCCAGTAGGAGCTGTGCTCGCTTCTGGTATGGAGGCTGTGGAGGAAACCAGAACCGCTTCGAGACCCAGGAAGAGTGCGAGAAGACCTGTGGGACAGCAGGTGAGTTCTGGACCACCCAACCCCCAACCTATGTTCTAATTCAGTGCTTTTATAAAATAGAAGACTTTCAACTGTGTATAAAACACTGAAAAATGCTACAAAAATTCCAAACATAGAGCCTTTAATTTTTTAAACCTGGAAGCATTATTTCAAAGTTTTTAAAACAGTCTATCCCTGAGTTTAAACAGTCAGGAAAGGTGATTGATGTGATTGTCTGGTGAACTGATTGATAATATATAAGGTCTGTCTTCTACACAGCATCTTTCAATCAAGGGCTCGGAGAAGCTGTAAGAACATAGGGAAGACACATGAACAATCAGGTTTTACCTCTGCAAAAAGTCCAGTAAAGAAGGCGCAGCAAAGCAATGCTGCTGGCACTGAGACGGCCCTGAGATCTGTTATCTTTTCGTCACACTAAACAAGAAAATCAACGACCTGATGCATAGTTATCAAACTGGTGCTATCTTTTTTTTTGCAGTGGATGTATTAAATTTACCTGGTGTGTATTGTGAAGTGTATTGAATTTTATAAAATAGTTCGGAAATAATTTTATACAGTTTTTCTCACAATTAGTCGTACGAAAATAACCAAAAGTAACTACGTTTTAATAGTACACAAAGACTTACAGATGACATCCTATTTGGTTCAGGTTAATTTCACTGAAAACTCTTTCTGGGTCACCCAATGCTTTAACATAATCATCCACACTGATATAGATTTTAAGCTAGTTTACATATCTCCATGTGTAAAAAATGACAGCCATTTTGTTCAAGCACAGTCGGCAAACTTCATATTATAAGTGCACTTCAAACACAAGGTCCTGTTCATACAAGATGGAATGTACTTGTCAAAACTGTTGATTTTTTGTTTGTTTTATTACTTTGTTTCAGACTGGGGTGAGGAAATAAAAATGCTTTCTATTAATGTGCCATTTTCCAGTGTTTATTTTAAAGCAGTACTCTATCCTGCAGTTGACAGTAGACTTTCAAATTTATTTCCTGTTAAATGTACACAATCAAGAGTTTTACTCTTGAGCATACCACTAGAACAAAAGACTTCCCTACTCAGAATCCCTATTTGATTCTCTATGGTATATCCTGTATGTAAGAATGGCTTGCTTGTTTGCTAGTGTGCAATGTTTTATATTGCATGATTGTTATCTGTCAGGTAGAAGTATATGGTGTCAGTTAGCAGGACTTATAGTAGCATAATTTTTAGGAACTCAAAATGGAACAGTTAATAATGATTTGTTAGTCTCCAGTTCATTCTGATTTGTCATTGTACATCATTGAAGTTTAATCATTGACATCTTGGTCTTGTCAGCAGTGACTTTTCTAACCATGAAATCGTTCAGACTCTCTATCTCAGTGTTTCCCAATCCGGTCCTTGGGGACCCACAGGCGGTTCATGTTTTTGGCCCCTGGCAGACGGTCCACATTTTTGCTCCTCTTCAGCTCCCCGGTAAGCAAAAATATGGACTGTCTGCAGGTTCCGATGACTTTATTAGGAAGCACTTCTATCTGGTCTGGATCATGTAGGTTCCGGGGGCTGGAAGAGTTTTGTGGGCTGTATTTATGTTTCAGGTAGGGTTTCCGCATGCCTGTTCTCCAAAACTAACATGATTGTGTGTGTGGTCTCCTCCACCATATCACAGAGCTCCCAGCATATGTACATGGGAAGGCTTTACTTATTAAGCTAAAAGAAGAAAGCCCAAACTGTCATTTCGGGTTCTGTGCTAATGCCTCTTCTGTATAAATTGTTAATGTTTGGCTTAGATTTAGTAATTGTTTATCAGTATAGCTCTCTCTCAGGATTATCAAGTTTTATTTCAATTTTATTTTATTTTTTTTACTAGTCGCAGAAGTTGGTGGGAATCTATATTCTTCTTTGTCCTGCTAAGCACTAGGGCCCTAGATAAAGCCAGGCATGAAAAATTTAGCAAAGGACGGCGCTCTAAGGTCTAATAAACAGCAACATCCCCCACAAAGGAAAAGCCAAGAAAGCCACGACTGTCTCGCCCTGTGAGCTGCAAGTTAACAAAGGAGTCATTTTATATCAAGCATTGAATTCAGACTCATATTCAGCAAGCCCTTTGATTTCTTCCATATGTGAATAATGGTTTTCAGTCTTCATAACTGGAGGACTTTTTCGGATGAATCGAGCTTGTGGTGCATAAAAATACATTTCATGTAGTGTCACACCAACAATCTTTGCGACATTCTTTAAAATGTTTTTGTCAAAACATGAAAATAATATTCAAGCACAAAGCAAAATAAATTTCTGGTGCTGTATTATAAAGTTTACAAAGTTGTCACTGAACTAGTCGCTTTTAACTTAATATAATCCATTAAATCACACTCATCTTGTTAAAAATAATAAGTAACAGATAACCTGCCTATCACATTTCCTACAGGGATAGGGCAGTGTTATTATGTAGACTGACCACAACCATAAATGCTAAAGTCAATGAAACAGAGTTACAAGTTATTCCATGATTGTTTGAATACATACATGCTTTCCATAAAAATTTTTTACAGTTGGCACCAGATGTTGGAAGAGAAATATACTGGATAAAAGGAATCCAAGATGGGGAAAAGCTTATGACATTGGAGACGTCCTCTCAGTCTTAAATCTCAACCTAATCAACCCTAACATTTTCAAAATGAATCATCATTTGGTTAAATATGCATTCTATGTATGATTAATCAATGCTTTTTGAATGTTAGACGTCCACAACTGGTGTTTTAGAATGACAGCTAAATTTGAAAAGACTGAGAATGTGGTTCTTTTGCTACTGATTATTGGAACAAAGTACAGATGATGTGATCACTGATTGGCTGACATGGTGCTTAAGGTACACCCCTGTGCTGAAGATAATTATGTCTCTGGTGCACTGACACAAAATAAACAATGAGAGATTAATTTGTACATACTCTTGCCAAGACCATAATCTTCAGAAGTACAGTAACTTCTCATGAATGTTAATGATGTCACAGCACTTCGGCTAACTGACACCACCAGGACTGGACTGGAATTAAAAGTCGGTCCTGACTTTGGGGTCCCCCGTGATAAGTGGGTAGGTGGGGGGTCCAGCACACAAAGCCACTGGCCCACCAGGAGAGCGGCCAGTGCAGCCCTGGACGCCACAAACGTCTTCAGATTTCTCTACTGTGGATTTTCTTCAAGGTCAGATTAAAGACGCAATCATTGGGTTGGGAAGACTGCATTTTACAACGATGAAAATGAACCCTTAATCACAAAATTAGAGTCATGCATTAAATAAGCTTTTCTGGGGGAATGTAAGCAGCAATATGATATTATGATATTATGAAGAGCTAAAGTGCTTCCTAAAATTTATCCTCCAGTTATTGGCTTTAGATGAAACATGATGTAAAGTCAGATTTCCCATGTGAAATGTTCCAGGGATGTTTGGAGTCAATTGTGTGTTTGCTTTGGGTAAAGTACTGCAGAAAGTGGAGACCAGTTACTAGTCTCCAGATTGAGCAGAACGTTGGCTCTAATAGGCATGATTCACCCAGGACACAAATCCCACCACTGCCAAATAGAACAGGCCTAAATGGAGACATTATATAAACAACCGTGGGCTGAGTCACAGCAGAAAATGTAACCAGGTGTTTCTCCCTAAATCCCATGGAATACGAGTTCCATGGTGGAACAGACCGATGTACTTCACATACTGCAACACAAAAGACTAAAGATCTTGAACGGATTGTGGAACAGAACAGAATTCAAGGAATAACGCCACACCTGTGATAGGACAGAATTTTTTTTTCCTTAAATATTTATGTTCAGTGTTATTTATGGATAAGCATGAAAGACACCAGGCAATAGCAGTAGAGTGGAAAGAAAGGTGCACTGTCATCTTCAAACCAAATACTGAATATTGCATTCCATTGTCAGCCAAATATTACTTTTTAATCAATAACTGACCAACTGCAGGGGAAATCTCGAGAACACATATTTCATAAATCATTCATTCACCAGTACTTTCTGCTGAATGTTTCCGCTGCTGTGGCTGTAAAACATCAATGGGCGCATCAGGAAGAGAGAATATGCCGCTCCAACGCATTTAAACATGATAGCCAGAAACATTCGCTTCATTGCAAAATGACCAATGTGGTTAAAACGGGTTTCAAAAGATTCTGTTGGTATGTCTTCGAAAACCCAAGAAGCTCAAACTTTAACAGAACTCTCAGTGATGCTAGTGAGTCACTGGAAAATATGGTCTCCCAAGTATGTTTCACTCCCTGGGAAAATTTGGTCCATTCTTAAAAGACTAGCCACAGATGAGAACTTGGGGAAAAATCTGTCATTTAAACACCATACAGCATCTGTAGTCCTTTTGAATCTCTAGTATGCCTATGGCATGAATTTATAAATTGTCATGTCTTACCTGAGAACAATTCATTATTCTGGTGAGCTTTTCTACCATTGAAATTCATACATGATAATGCAATACATAAGGCTAAGAATAAAATCATCTTATTTTCTTGTAGTAGTGTGAGACATTTGAGTGGCATGAACTGATACAGACCTTTTGAATAATACCCCACTTTGTAAAAGAACAAAACCGAACACCAAAGATTAAGGTTTGCTCTGTAGTCAGAGAAACATCAGTTCAAGTCTGCAATTTTTATCTGTGCATACTTTCACACAAATCTAAGCCTTCCTCTTCTTTATAACTCTTGGAAAACAGAAAACAAAGTAAACCTGGGAAGAGTTGCTGTGATGCTCTAACTCTTTTTCACATCTTAAACTATTGTAATTTACCCAGTTTACTGGCTTTTCTCTTTGTCTGTCTCTTAAGAATAATGTGTTGTTTTGATGAGCTGTTTGCACAATTAAAAGGCAATGTGTGGATCAGAACTTCAAAATGCTTTTATTGAATGTTATTATATGTAAAATGAAACCTTAATGGGGGAAAACACATGTAGACCTATAAACAGCGACTAGAACACAGGCTGGCATTGTACACTGTTAGAAATAAGTGCATTGGGAATGGAAAATATATTGTCGGATAACATTTCCCCATAAAATTAGCACACTTTTATTGTAAGTGGTAGTGGAACCATCGAAATCAAACTGGCTTTCTAAATAGGTCTTTTGCTTTGAATTTCCCATAATTTATGAATCAATTAAGCATTATGCTCAATAAGCAAAATTTAAAAATAAGTTGCTTAATACGAATTATGAAGAATCTTTCAGATCTTTTATTCACAGGCATAAAACACAAAAACAAACCAACAAAAATTACAAAACTGGTCATGAAAACTTCTAAGTAGGAGTCCAAGACGTTTGTGGTGGCAGCTTCTTCGTGGCTTTCTTAATGAGCCTCTTTCTGGAAGTAATCATAGATGTAGAGCTATGGAAATCATTTGCCACAATAGCAATTATGCTTGGACTGGAACTTCTTTAAACCACAAAAAAATTACTATTATGAGACAATATAGCCTTTAAGTTGTAGTAATTCAGTAGTCCATTTCAGCTACATTCCAATTTTTATTCCATATGAAGCAACATCTACTTTTCATAATATGCATATTTTTTTAACATGTGTAATATCACAACAAAAAGTGTCAAAAGCCCTGACTTGCAATTAGACATTTTCTAACTCATTTTCATCTGAATGATATTAACTTTTGTAATCTTCAGCTATGTGATGATAAACTACTTTCCATTGGGATTTAATTCTAATCTCACCTTGAGTTCTTTTAAGACAATAAGATCAAGACATCTACAGCAGATGAGTGGTGTGCAAATGAACTGACATCAGACACACCATGGATGAGTGATGACCTCTTGAAGTGTGTGCTTCCTCAGGTGTCAATCTGCTTATGCCATCCAAGCCACTTTAGTTGTGTTATTCAACAATTGTGACCACAGAGTGTCAATCAGTCATCACA